GCGCAGCTCCAGCCCTTGTTTTGCAGCGCGCCACGTGGAATTTTATCACCTTCAACAATGAAATCTGTCACCTTCAAGCTGCCTTATTGTGATCTGGAGACTCGTGCCCGGCCGCTGGAACTGGGCTCTGTCACAGAGCGCCAGGTCCCTGCCCAGCACTTATGCCCACGACCCACTTGAGGGGACTTTAGGGACCCCAGTTGTGCTGTTTTGTCCCGGGATCAGGTCGTTAATTGATCTTTTTCCTTTCTTTCTCTCCCTCTGCCTCCTCCTGTCTCATGTGCATCTCAATCTGCTTCACCCCCCCCCTCCAGCTCGGAGAATAAATCCCACCAGACCCGCAGTCAGCCGGTGTTCAGGAGGAGATCTGGGATGTTAAAGAAGCATAAATACATATTTAACAGGATGGCACCCTCGTGTTGCATCAGGTGTAGAAATACAGCAGTTTGAGTCATTGCCTGCTGGACCGTCTCTGTGACAAAGTCATTTATAGTAAAGCCAGGGAGTGGTGCCTCTTCAGCTTGGATGTCACAGCTCTTCAAGGGGGCTTTGTGGGAGCCTTTCTGGGGATAGTTTGGTAATAAATTGACTTTTACTAATCTGCTTTAATTACCTGCTAAGACCAGAATGCTTGCGTTTCCCTGGTGTGTATTGTAGCTGTATTTTTGCTTTAGGGGGTGAGTAGTTTCCCCTAAAATGCAGTCATGTACATTTGTGTACACATTTGTATGGGCTAATTATAAACTCGCCATCAGCGCCGCAATATCTGTACAGCAAAAGGGTTGTCACTGCTTGGAAATGCCTGCTTTGGAGCAGAAATCAGACCTTTTTTGTGGAATCATTTGGTCACATCTTTGGGGTTTAGATTTTCAATGAATAATCAATACCTGCAACAAAAGATTTAAACAAAAAAAAAGGTGTTCATTGAAGTTTCTCCACAGGAAAAAATCGATCCCATGTATTATTAAATACAAAGAGACTTATGTCTTGAGTTTCATCTCGCCACAGCTTATAATAACCCTTCAGAAGCTTGAAGCAGGGCTTTTTTTCATTAAACAAAATGTTGGGTTCCCCTGAGCATCTCTCTACTTCATTACAGGCATGTGTTGGAAGTTGCCTGCACCCAGCAGCTCTGGCTTGGAGGGCTGAGCTTATCCCTGCCCTTTTTCATAAAAATAGGAATATTTCTTACCAAAGTGGCTGCATAAGGAGTGTCAGCATATGAACAGTGACAGGGAAACACATTTTCTGGATGTCAGGTTTAAACATCTGCCTCCTGAGCACCTGGGTAGGGAAGTGGGGCCATGGAGAGGTCACTGGTGACTAAAGGTGCAGTGGGTGATGCTGCAGCTCATCCCTGGTCTCCCTCAGCCTGTGATCCCTGACCTCAGAGAAATCCCCCATCTCTGTGCAGTTACTGTGCTCTTGGACACTTTAGGACATAACAGTGTCCTAGGGCTGGGAATACAAGGATTTCCAGTACCATGAGCAAGGAGATGGGGAAAAACCCTAATTGCTCTGTCCCTTTATCGTGGATTTTCCAGAGGTGGGACTCCAAGGCAGACAGGCAAATTTGGAATAAAGAAATGCTTCAGTCATATTTTCATTCCCCATGGCCAAGTTCCAGTCTCCAAAATGGGATTAGCAGGGTGAGATGCAGCTGAGTTTCACCTCTGCCAACCTTCAGCAGCGTCCATTGCAGCTCTGGGCCCTGGCTGAGCTCTGGGGATGCACCTCTGGGGTGTGTCAGGCAACTCTTGCTGCCTCCTGCCTGTCCTAAGCCAGGGTGTCCCACTGACTGACCCAGCTGCAGACATTTTCTGACAAGCCAGTGCAAACCATTCCTCCAGCACACATAGATTTGTTTTGCAGGGCAAAAATAAGCAGCAATGCAAATATCATTCTCTGTTTCATTCCCCCCTGTCTTTTTTCCCGTCTTTGCTTAAGGAAAGCTGGAGGAGGCAAGGCAGGATTGACACTTTCTCCCACCAAGGGCTTTTCCTAAGATGCCTGCTGGGAATACTCCTGTGTGTTTCTGTTTAGGTGGGAGCTCTTTTGATTTTCTCACTGCCAAAGTTGCACCAAGGCGCCTGGAGAAGGATTTGCTGCTTGCTTATGAAATCCATTCTCCCTCGAGGATCTGCTCTTTCCAGCTTGATAAACTCTTAATTCTTGCTGTCTAACAACACCAAGGGACTGTGTTTTGTGCTTTGATGAGTGTTTGGTGATTGATGTTCATTTATGCTTGCAGGAGATCAGTAACCTCATTTCAGTTTTGCCAGAACATCAGGACAAGAGCTCTGTGTCCTTCTCTGTTCTTGGTCAGGTGCAAATGAAAGAGAAAGTAAAGAGGCTGTAGCCTGCCCAGACCTACCCTCTCACCATATGGCTCAAGTCCTGGCACTGTTTGTGCCCCACTTTGCACAGGGGCATGTGGGAAAGGACACACTTGGCTATTTTTGCTATTGTTGTTTTATCTTTTTTTTAGTCTTGGTTCTGTTCACTGTCTGGGATATTTGGAAGGAGCTGTCGTAACTTGGCATGGGAGTAGATTGCTTAAATATTACCTCACAGAGTCGATGTAAATTTAGAGTAGATAAGACTTAGACTCCAAATACCTTTTTTAACCCTTTACTGTCTTTCCCAAGTCTATGCCCTCTGCTCTTTCTTAGCTCTTTCCAGCAGTTTTGAGAGGAACATGACTCCTGTTTTATCACTTGTCTGTGATACCCAAACAGTTTCTGCATGGCCAGCAGAGAGATCTTTCATTCACCCCTGCATGTGCACACACAGAGGCACATCCTCTGGGGAAGGATTTATCAACAGAAGAAATCCCAGAGGAAAGAGGCCCATAATGATGAATGCACAGAAAATACGCAATCCTACATCCCCATCTCCAGATAATATTATCCACCAAACTGTGACTCTGTTCTCAGAGAGTAAATGTCATTTCCCTTTAAAAAATCCATTTTCTTTCCTTAGCAGAAAGGACACTTGGAGCACCTGTACCAAAAGGGAGGTGAAGAAACCTGTAAGCATTCCCTGCTTCCGCTGATCTTACACAGGTTCTAAACACAGGTCTGGTTGTTTCTTATATATATTTATTTTTCCTCTCTGCTGTTTTGCTTTGAAGTATCTGCCTGTGTTCTCAATAAAGAACAGCTGAGAGATCAGCAAAATGGCTTAAGAATTCAGCAGGCTGTGAGCTATTTGGATTGAAAACAGTGCCTGGGAGAGAGCTCTTCACACTGCCTTGCTAAACAATCTCCTCCTGTCACCATCGGGCGGTTGCTGTCCTTTGTTTGTCACCTTCCCTCTGACTCTCAAGGGCCTTCGAGGGAACGAAGGAGGCTCCTTTTCTTTTTTCTTTGTTAAATTCCCCCAAGTCCTCGTTTTAAAACCCACAGCACAGCCCTTATGGCCCATCTGCTGTTGTTTCAGGTTTTCTGTATGGCTTTGTTCACCATTTCCCCACTAAGCAAACCCTGGATCCTTGGGAGCCACAAGCAGGACCCGAGTGCCACCGAGCTGCAGCTCCCCCTGTGCCAAAGAGGAGTTGCCCACAGGGCACTCAGGCACAGATTCTGGAGTGTCTTTAAAAACATTTTTGTTCAGAAATTCCTGTTGTTGTTATTCCTGCTGACCTCTGTGGGCTGTATCTTTTCCAAACGTTTCTGACGTTTCTCACAGGGTAATCGGTGAATGTCACAGACAAGAATTCTGCTGACTTCAGTTTGGCTTCTGTTCCCCATTGAATGGGCTCCTCTCTTTATGGGGGAATGCCTCCAGCCAAAAAGAGAGGAAAAAACCCCCAGCCCCTGAGCTAAGTGAAAGCAGGCCCAAAGGGAAGTGCGTTCCTGCTGCAGTGCCTCTCGCTGGCTGGCTTCTGTTCCGTGCTTGGGGATGTGCCAGACTCCAGTGCCTCCGTGCTTTTGATTCCTGTTTATCCCTGGCAACATGATTGTCTATAATTATATATAATCTCCTCCTTGTTTACTCTTCTTCCTCCAGGTCTGAACGCAAGCTCGATGGCAACTCTCTGCTCCGTCTGCCAGGGCTCCAGCTCCAACCGCTCCTCTCCATCCTCCACCTTCTTTTTCCAAAGTAACAAAGCCATTGGATTTCCTCCCACCCCTTCCCTGCGCCTCCCCTCCCCCTCGCTGGCACCGGGGTTATTTATACAGAATGTGGAAACAATTTGCAGGAAAGTGAACAATGTAAGTGGGAGCGAGGGAAGGGAGGCAAGTTTGTAGTGCACGCTGAGAGCCCCAGCAGCGAAACGCTGCTTTCTGGGGAGCACAGGGAGCAGGCTGTTTTTCTTTCTTCCTTCTCCCCTCTCTCACCATCCCCCTGAGCTCCTTCCATCCTGCTGGAGTCGAGGCCAAACCAGAGCAACCAGATCTGAGTGCATTTTGGAGGACGCTCAGGATGGATTCCGCCCTGCACCGCAGCTCCATGAGGCGGTATCTGTGTACTTAATCCCCTCAGAGGTTCTGCTCTCGGATCATTCCTGCTCCTGGATTAGCATTAATGAAGAGCATGTGTGCTCCTGAGGTCCTGCTCCAGGCCCTGGAGCTGCAGCACTGCCTGGTGTCAGACACAGCTATTCCCAGGAACAGTTCGGCTCAAAGAGGACATTTCTGGGAGTGAACGAGGCAGGAACTTCTTGCAAAGTCTAATTTCAGTCTTTGTGCCCTCACCTGCTCAGCACTGCATTTCCAGGGCATCCCAGCACCTTGCTGGCTCCATTGGGAGTGTGTCTGTACATCCAGCAGTTTCCCTGAGTGCTCTGGGTTGGGGAAGCTGAACCAGCACTCACTCAGCACCTCTGGGCAATTCTGGGCTCTTCAGACCTTGCTCTGCACGGTGAAGTCCTCAAAAGAGAGATAATCCAAACACACACATCCTTTGGGGAAGGGCTGTAGGCGTTGCAGATGGAAGGGAATGTTATCCTGGGTTCCAGCAGCTGCCCTGGCCACAGTGAGGGCCTCCTTGCCTCCTTCCCTCCTGGGAAGCTCCTTTCCCAACAGCCTCCAGCCTTGGGACGGGATCTGTGCATTGTGCTGAGCTGGTAGGGCAGGGCCAGGCAGCTGCCAAGTGGGACAGTGTGTTCCTCCCTACACCAGGCAGATTTCTGGCTGAGAACTGGTGCAGCTGATCCACTGTGCTCCAGTGGCACAGAAAGACAGTCAGAAGGAACCTCTGGTGGGCTTTTCCTTCCTGAGAATCCATCCTCTCCACTTTCCAGTTCTTCCTGCTCCACATTGTCCATACCCACTGTGTGAACTTCCCATGGATGTTTGTTCTGTAACCTGCCATGTCTGCTCTCCCACAGGTGTGTCTGTGCAGGCTCAGGGCACAGCAGAGCCCGTTCCAAATGCTGCTCCCTTTAGCCAGTTCTTGGCTGAGTTCACAACTCCAGAAGTAAAGCCCAGGAAGGGCTGGAGCAAAGACACTTCAGTCACTGATGTTTTCTGGTCAGGGCAGTTCAGCTCTTTGTGTTCTCCTGATTCTCACTGACTCTGAGAAGGGTCCAGGAAAACAATTCTCTCCCAGTCCAGGCACCAACATAAACTGGGAGGCTGCAGCTGGGAGCAGAAAACCCAGACCCAGCAGTGGGACCCAGCAGAGCTGCAGGGTCACTGGTTCCCACTGCAGCCACGCCATGTCCAGGAGCAGCACAGCATGAGCCACAGCCTGGCTGCTTCCCACCCCTGCTCCTGGCAGGAGCCTGGTGGTGTCTGAGCATCTGCCCAGGCTTGTTCCACCCTGTGCTTCCCTGCTGGCAAAGGGAAGGATAGGAGAGAGCTTGAATCTATCAGCCTCTGGAGAGAGAACCCCTCGTGCAGGCTCAGGCAGGAGGGCAGCAGCTCTGCTGCTCAGAGTGGCCTCTGGGCAGACACAGACATTTCCAGTCTCTCTGTGACTCCTAAGGGTCTCCCTTTTACTCCTGGAGAGATGCAGCCTTGAGTTACACTGCATGGAGAGCACTCACTTTTGACAGGTTTGGGTTAAGTGGAGGCTTGAAGCTCTTACACCGACTAAACTGCACAGACCAGAGTGACCAGGGTAATTTCAGGGCAACAGTCACTGGAACACTTGTGCTTTTTCCCTTCTGGTTCTAAATGTTCAAATTCTCACAAAAATATGAGACAAACTCTCAGTGGAATGACTATGCTGCTGAAAACATTTGGAATTTCCTATTTCATCTGGTTCTTTCTCTTTTTTTTAATTATTTTGAGGGCTTTTTACATGAGAACAGATTTACATTCCTCTCTCCCTGCTGCTCACTTCCCACCTGAAATCTTCAGCTGCTCTTTGCAGTTCCCAACACAATGGTGAGCGAAATCCTGAACGGAGCATTCAAACTTGAGGTGAGGAAAAGCAACAGCAGCAGATGGGCTTGTAAACAGCAGAGACCTGGCTCAGGCACAGAGGTCCTGGCGGAGCGGGAAGGAGCAGGAGGGTTGGTAAACACTGAGCAATTTCCATTTTCTGGGCTGAAATGTGGGGATCTGGGGAGGGGAGGGCGGTGTAGGAACAGCAGCTCTCCCTTTCTGGCACAGTCAGTTCTTCCCAGCAGAAGCTGTTCCTGTCAGAACTTGCAGCAAATGGGAGAAGATGGGAAAGTGGGGGACATTTTCCAGCATCAGGGAATTTGTGGGTGATGAAAACAAGATTTCCAGCAGTCCTTTTGCACTAGTCTTGGTTTCTAAAGAGGTATTCTGCTGTTTTCCTGCCATTCTTCCCTTCCCTTGAATTCCTTCTGAAACTCAGCAGAGTTGGGAATAACTTCACTGATACGAAATTCCCAAAAGTTACCTGAAAGTGTGCAGCTGGACAGAGGAAAAAGAAACCCAGAGCAGAGTCCCCACGAGTGGAAGAAAAAAGCAGAATAAGGAGGCTCAGTTCTGTAGTTTATTGAGCCCAGAGGGATTTCTACAAACCACATGGCATCAGGTGTCAAATGAGGAATGAAAACCAACGTGGAACAATGGAGCAGCCTAAAACTCCCACAGCCCAGCGAGCTCCAGAAATGTTGGAGAGGCTTAAATGGCCCCTTAATGGCCTGGTCAAAGTCCTGAGTCATGTCATGGGTGTTCTTTCCTTGGACAGGGAGACTCTGCACGTCCTGTGGAGTCCAGGAGTCACAGAAAACAGAGACTGATGAAAGATGGTTCCGGGCTGGGATTTTGGAGAGGTTTGTGCTTGATCTAGGGTTAAAGGGTTGTTGTTTCTGTTTTTCTTGGGGATTGGGAGGGGAGAGGTTACTGAGTCCCTGAACCTTAATGTAAAATGACTAGAATCTGGAACAGATTCCAAAACAGACATTTAGGGACTACTAAATGTACAAAGCAGCTTGGATATCTATCACCAGAGTTCATCCAGTCCTGGAAAAAGCCTCTGAAATGGGCAGTGCTTTAACAAAGTACAGATGTCTGGGGACTCAAAATACAAGGAAGAATTATGAGGAGGAAGAGATAACACTTTCTCCATTTCTTCGAGAGGGAGAAAATGCCAGAAAGTTATTAGTTTTATTCCCAGGACTGTGGTAGCTGGACAAGGATCCAAGGTTAAGGTGATCCCCATGACCTGACACTTGCAGAACAAGTGGGCTCCCTGTATCCTGGCACGAGGAGTTCTAGGGAGATCTGTAATCCCCAGTAGTAACCTCAGAGGTTAATTGGCGTCTGGAAATGAGTTTATTAGGTAGGTGGGCTAGAGGGGGTTTAATTACGTGTTTAGATCAGTGTTGCTTTAAGCATTAATTTTGCCTGGAAAAGGAAGGTGTAATGTCAGGAGCGACACTTTCACACTGCTTAGATTGAGCCAGGGGAGACTGGAGAGAGCCCACGGACTATTGGGGAGGATGGGAATGAGCTCTGAGTAAAAGCATCTCTTTGTTGTTTTGAGCCAAAATTCCCTGGACTTCGTGTAAGGACCAGTTTCCTGAGAATGGCACTCAGCAGTTTTTGGACAGTCAGGCTGTCAGAAGGAATCCCTCTGAAATACATGTTGGATTTCTTTTTTTGGGCCTTATTTCTCTTTTCTGCTTTGTGTCATATTCTCCTCGCGGCTTTCCAGAGCAGAGTTACTCTTCCACTTGTTCCCTTTTGCCTCCTGCTGAGTCAATTCTTTCTTTTCCAACGTTATTTGTACTGTAGTCACTCCCAGAATCTGGGAAATCATCCTCAGAAGTCTCCCCATCTCCTGAGCTTACTGCCAACTCTCCCACTAAAGCTTTGAATTCTTTGTTATAAAGAAGAATAAAAGGCCAGCAAAGTGCACCTCGACACCCATTCAGGTGCCATTACCCTGTAATTCTTTAAAAACTCTGTGTGCATTTATAGTCACTGGGAAGTGCTGGACTGGGAAGCCTCTGGACTAAATTGGTGTTAGCACATGAAAGAGAAGCAGTCCTGCATGGGGCAGCAGGCTCTGGGCAGGTTTGGTCACCAGCTCGCTCGGTGGGCTCGGGACAATCATTCCCTGCCTGTGCCCCTGCTGGCAGTGCCCAGCTCCAGCTGTGCCCCTTTGGATGAGGGACACGCCTGTCCCACACCTGTGGAGCTGCAGCAGAGCCTGAGCTTAGCAGGGAATGCAAACAGGGATGAGAGGAATGCCCAGACAGCAGGGCAGGCTTCCCAGACACGCTGTCCTGCGAGCATGCTGGAACCCTGGGTGCTGCAAGCTGTCTCTGTTCCCAGGCCTCGGCTTCTCTCTGCCAGCCACAAAGGGTTCACCACTTCCAAATACAGCGGTGAGGTGAACTGGCAGCTTCCCAGTTCCACTGGGAAACGGGGGCAAATTGCTAAACTCACTTTACAAACTCAACCAAAGCCTGATTGGATCCTCCATCCTGCCTGGAGCTGTGCCACCTCCTGCAAGTGAAAAGCTCCTTGGGTTTCTGAGCCATCCCATCCCATCCCATCCCATCCCATCCCATCCCATCCCATCCCATCCCAAACCATCCCATCCCATTCCACACCCTCCCACTCTGCCCATGCTCCAGCCTGCTCCAATTTGCCAGCAGAGAAATCAATTTTCTCCCCTCCTCCCTTGTTTGAGGAGCTGCAGGCACATCCCTTGGCTTTCCCTCTTCTCTGCAGGCTTTTCCAGAGCCCTTTCCTCCCTTTGTTTGCTCGTTCCCTGCACTCCATCCCATCTTTTGCCTCCCTCCCTGGTTTGATACAGCATCTCGCTGGTCCTGCCTCACACTCTGAGCAGGGGTATTAGATGGATTCCCCATAGAGTATAAATTGAATGGAGAGAAGTGGCTGGTTTCCCAGCAATAATTTATCTGATTAAAAAAATACTCCCCAAACTCCCCCTCCTCCACCGGTCCTGCGCCCCCTCCAAAAAGCACCACTGGCATCAGGGTTGGTGTTTGAACTGTGTGATTCAAATTGCTGGAAGAGGGATTTAGATGGGAAAGTAACTGGCAAAGGATGGTTCTCGGGGGATTTTTCCCAGAGTGTCGGGGCTGGAACCCGGGTTGTTGTGTGGAGAAGGCAGAGAGTAAATAATTCTGAGTCAAGTACCTGGGTGATTTGTACCTTTACCCACGTACCAAATGGCGGCTGCACACGCGCGTGCTCTTGCTCGTGTTTGCCCACCACACGCACTGCACGGGGGAGCCCAGCTCCTGGCACAGCAAGCTGCTCCTGCTGTTCCCTCTCTCCTCTCTTTTCTTCTCTTACCTCAGGCCTGATTCCAAATAACAGAAGAAATCTGCCTCACTAAATGCATGTTGCCTTGTTTGTTACTTGCTCGGGCTTCAATCCTTCCAAACCATTTTCTTCTCCAACATTCCTGTTGTAATTATGGAAAATAATTCCTGTTGTAATTAGGATGGAAAAGTCACCCCAAGGCCCCTCTCAGCAGGGGCCTGGGCAGTGGGTTTGGTTGGTGCTTGTTCCTGTGTGGGTGACAGGCAGGTATTTGCAGGTATTTACATCCCAGAGTGCTCCCAGACCGCCGGGATTTACAACAGGGGCTCCCTGGTGCTGTCAAGGGCAGCACTGCTGCTGCCACCCGAGTGTCTGCAGGCCATTCCAGGGCCTGGCGTGGCCCCAGCTCCCCGGGCTGCTGGCTGCTGGACATTCCTCTGCTCACAGCTGCTTTCTGGCCACTGGGTGAAACACGGCCAGGCTGGAGCTTTTCAGCCTCGGAGCACCCTCAAGCCAGTGGCCAGGGCTCAGGTTTCCTGCGTTTTGACAGGAGGGCTGCTCAGATAAAACCTCTTTCTGCTCCTTCTGGAGGATTTACACTGCCACAAGTCCTCATTTTTTCCAGATGTTTTACCTAATAAATCAAGGAGTCTCATCAGAGGATTGGGATCCAAAAGCTGTTACCATGACTTCAAAGACACAGGCTGGAGTGGAAAGAAGCAGTGCAGACATTTTATACTACTCTGTATGCACTGATCATGAAAATACACTCTGCTCCCAGGATTTTTTTTCCTGTGGATATGAGAACACCAACTATGATTAAATAAAATGGTGCTGTGCTCCTGCAGCCAACCTTTGCTGAAAAGAATGGAGCTGCAGGAGCTTCGGGCTGTAGGGCTGGCAGGAACCAGGCTGGGGCTGGTCCTGAGAGGGGTTGAGCTCTGCCAGCCCCTGTCCAAAATCCAGGACCATTAACTCAGGGCTGAACTCACTCCATCTTTTCAGATCAATATTTAACTGCATATTTTCTCCAAGTGCTGGTTTAAGCAATTCCCACATAAAGGAATCAGATGTTCATCTTCTTCAGATGTTGGGAGAGAAAAAGATAAAAAGAGTTACATGGCTGTAAAATGTGATTGTGACTATCCAGACCAGTTTGTTCCTTGATCAAGAATGTAATTTTTTTTTTTTTTAATGTAGTGAAGGCTTTCTTTTTACAGTGTCTACATGGTGTCATTTTCTTTTGCTGTTCCATTTCTAAAGATAACTGTGTTTGGAGAAGCTGTTACGTGTTTCTGTCACTCCATAGCACAGGGTGCTGCAGATCAGAATGAAGAAAAGCAGCTGAAGAAAGGAAAGCTGATCCTGTGGTGGGTGAGCAGCAGGCCACAGGGTTGGCTTTTGGTTCCCCACTTTCCCAGAGCACTGGCCTGGCATCAGAGATGCCCAAGCTCCTCACCCTCTGCCTTGTCTTCCCTTGGATCCTGTTGGATTTGGAATCACAGCATAGTTTGTATTGGAAGGGACCTTAAAGCTCATCCAGTTCTACCCCCTGCCATGGGTAGGAACCCCTGCCACTGTCCCAGGTTGCTCCAAGCCAACCCAACCTGGCCTTGGACACTTCCAGGGATGGGCAGCCACAGCTTTGTCTCCCCTCCCTGCTCAGTGCTGCAGGGCATGGTGCCAGGCAGGACCAGGCTGCTGGGGGCAGGAGGCACAGGGTGGTCTGGTTGTGGGGAGCCCCTTTAGCGTGGACTGAGGTGCCCAGGTCAAGTGCTCAGTTTCAGGAGAGTTTTTGGGCTTCCTCCTTCACATGGCTGAAGCACAGCCATGGAGAGGGGAGCCTCTCACAACCTCCTGGGGGTACCTGCAACAGGTGATGTAGGCAGAGACCTTGGCTTGTGCTGCCTCAGAATTCTGGGATGTAAATAAGTTGTCACTTAACAACAGTGGGAACTGCAACACTTGGAGTTCTGGGAAAATCCTGTGCACCCCAAGTAGGCACTGTAGTTATGTAAAACACACTTAAGATATTAATTGACTCCAAGAGATTGTATTTTGTGTTTTATGTATTTTGTGTTTCCCAGACAGTGGGGAGCAAGAGGGCATTTGGTTCTGCAAGATGTTTATCCAGATCTGAAAACATCATCATGGAAGTTTAGGAAGAGGTGATGTCCCACTGCAGCCAGGTGGAAGGGAGAGCCAGGTGTAGATCTCCTGTGTTCTAATGGTACGTTCAGACTAAAAAATAGCCTAATCTAAATACTAATATTCAAATAACAGTCACCACAAATCCATTTGTTCCTGCCACAGACTTCAGAAAAATTGCTGCTTGTCTTCCCTCCCCCACAAGGCTGAATCCCAGCACCCCAGATTGTCGTGACTGCCTGGGATTGGTGACATCTCCAGTGAAATGTGTTGGAGCATCAAAGCAGAGTGGGAGAAGCACAGCCTGGCTCCGGGAGCCAGAAATAGGTACTATCACTTGTGAGCTGAAGCCTCCCTTCTCCTTCCCCACCCAGCCCTGCCTCTCTGGCACGTGCAGCACGTAATGGTGGTGTTCCCATCGGACCAAAGGAAAACCACACTCCTAAAGCAAGCAGGGGATTGTGTGGTGGCCATGCTTTGGAGGCAGAGAATGTTAGGACATGGATTCTAAATTAGGGAACATCAGTGGTGATGGTTTGCAGATATTCTGTGGGGAATGGGTGTAGAAAGGAGCACGGCTCATCTCCTGCAGTGCCATGTGGAAAAGCATCAGAGGTACACCATAAAACCGGGGGGGTTGAATTCCCTTCAGTGGACAGTTGCTCAAATCCTTGTGATTGAATGAGTGAGTGATGAATGTGGCACATTGGATTTCTCCCTAGATCCTTTCCCTCCTTTATGCTGTGACTCTGAATCTCAGTCATGCTTTCACCTGTTTTTTTTAAGTCTGCCCACTGGAGTATTTGTCCGCTTCTGCCAAACCCTAAAAGCTCCATTTCATTTAAAAAAGAGATCATTTGGAAAGGTGAAGTTTGATTCACAAAGATAATGCTCTTTGAAGGTGTCTGCTCCTTTGGCAGTGACTGATTCAAAGGAGTTCCATTTCAGAATGTCTGTTCTGCTGCTCCCAAGGCCGCGCAGAGGAGGAGGGATTGTGTGAGGCCATATAAATCAGGGGCTGTTACAGGGATGTCAAACACAACTGCACCACGGGGTGCTAATGGTGAGCAGGTGAGGAGTCAGAGCAAGTCAGAACCAATGAAGAGAAGCCACAAAGCTCCTGTGTCTGGTCCCTGAAGCTTCCCAAAAGTGCAGTGTCTGCACACTCCTGTTCTGTCCTGGGAAAAGCGCAGGCTGTTCCTCTGATCCGTATCACATTTTCAAAGGGCTCCAGTAATTGGATGAGTAGGTTTGGTGGGAACATCTTTGCTTCTCAATTCTCCCATCAGGAAAGATCTAAATGAAGCTATGTGAGCACATCTTCAGCCCAGGCTGCTTTCCCACGTCAGTCCACTGGATTTGTGCTCACTTAAGGCAGTGGTGACCAGGCCCCTGGACACACAGCAAGGGACCTGTTGGATTAAACTTCCACTGGAGTGGAGGATGAAAAGTCACAATCTTTGTGCATGCAAACAGGAGTTTCCTCCTTTTTCAGCAGCAATTAAACCCCAAAGCTCTGACTCCAGTGAGTTTCTGAGTACTGGAGTAAGAAGTGATTTGGTGTGCAGCTTCTGGAGAAGGGGGCAGTGCTCATGCTTTCCCCCTTCCTCAATCCTATGAGCATTCCACGTTTCCAGAGGTTCCAGCTGGCTCTTCCCATGCAGACTGAAGGCTGTGTGATGGACCCTGAGGTTTGTGGGCACAGAGCACAGGGGGATGTCAGGGGGGAACAGTTTTCTCTCCCACAATGATGGTGTGATCTTCACAGCTTCCCAAACGCCCATTAGTCTCGGAGAGAAGCTGAGCTTGAACCAAAATGAAGGTGTTAGAGCTTTAAAACAGGCCATGAGACTCCCTTTGTACAGAAGGAATTCAGGCTGGTGGAAGGTTTCAGGGAATAGCTGTAGGTTGTGAGCCAGGATCGTGGATGACCACGAGTCTGTTGGACAGGCTGTGTCTGTGCATGTCCCTGCGAGCACATTCCACCGTGGTTTCTGCACCAGTTTTTGTTATTTCTCAATATTCCCACTAATATTTCATGTATTTATCTTGGCTGTGGGTAATTTCAGCAGTGAAAGTGCTGACTCTGATGTCCTTCTGGGACATTGGCTTGGGACAACCCAAAAGTTTTGTGTGGGTCTGCAAAAAATGTTCTGCCCACTGGTCTCCAATCCCAAGAACATTCCTGTTTTCTCTGCATATCCTCATACACAGCACTGATAGAAAGATTACATTTGTGTAGAGGAATAACCCAACAATTACAAATATGATTTATTTTCCAGACTTCTGGGTCACTAGAATGATGGGACAGGAAAGACTGAGGTACAGCTGGATAACTCCAGATCCTGACCAGTGGGGTTTGTGTCTCCCTTCCAAATCAGGCCAAGCAGAACGTGCTCCTCATCCTCAGTCAAGTGGGTGTGTGAGGAAGTGGGAGCTGGGAGAAAGGGGAATGTTCTCCCTAAAATACTTGGATCAAAATGGCCTCGGTCTGGTGGCAGAGGGCAGGAGCTGCTTCTGCTGGGCTGGCCATGTGTCCCATGGTTGGAGCAGTCCAGTCCCCAAAGCAGGCTCATGTCTCTTTACCTGTTCTTGAAAAGGCCAAATGACCCCAGGTACGTGTCCAGGAAGTATCCCATGTTCAAGGCAGCCTTGGAACTCCTCCTAAAGCTCCTTTGAGGGCCCTTGTGCTGCACCTCTTGGGAACAAGGAGTCCCATGACTTTTCAACATCTCCTCCCCAGGGGTTTGTGTGTTAACTCAGTGACATCATCACCTCGTTGCAGTTCAGGGCACCAGAGAGTCCCAAACTGCACTGCAGACAGGGCAAGTGGCACGAATGGAGCTGAGCAATTTGAAATTAAACAATCTCAGTTATTAGGGAATTCATGTCCTGGCAGCCAGAGCAGTAAAGACAGAGAGGTATCACTTCAGGGTGCTCAGAACAGGACGGGGAAAGCAAAACTACACCCACCTAAGTCTGTAGGTCAAGACTAAACTATCTCTAATTGCAGCCAGGTGAAACACTTGAGTAGATAGTCTGCAAGTGCTTTACAAAAAGTGGAAAGCAAAAGCTTTTTGCACAAGCATTAATCTTGATGCCTTAGTGGGGTCAGCTGGGAGTGCAAGGAGAGAATTCAGCACAGTCAGCACCGGCCTGTAAAGATCTATGTCCAGCTTTGCATTTCATTCTGTTTATCTGGGCTATTAATTAGCTCCTTTCAGTTTCCCTGGGAAGATCTGTGTGTTAGGGCTCCTGAACACTCATAAAGATCCGTCATTGATTGCTTGGGCAGCTAAATTGGGTCAACACTTCACCACTCAGAGGTGTCTTAACTTTACATCCTTTTCTGCTGGGGCAGGAATTTTGGGGAAGACTTCAGTCTTCTTGGAACCCACTTGTACACACTGCTTTCCTAATTTCATGCCTAGGTATGGCATTTCCATTACAAAGGAGTTGTGTTGTTGAGCTCTGCTGGTCTGGGTTTTTCAAAAGGTTATCAGAGCTTCTAGTCATGTGCTTGTGCTCTTTTCCCTCAGAACAAAACATCCTCTGCACAGATCCTGGACTATCAAAGCCCCCGAAACAGTTCAAGTGCCAAACACAACCCCAATGGCAGCCTGAGAAATGATGTCTCCCAGTGGGGCTGTTGAATATGCACAAATGTATGGTCTGTTTTCCAATGTGCCTGTCAGAGCCCTGCTGCTGCCTCCAGCAGAGAAAAATATTTGTCATAGGCCATTTCCCCCCAAACTTTACTGCTTGCAGGAAATAGAGAATGTTCTTTTCCAACATATTTATTTGTATTTGACTGTAATCACAAAGGGTTGTGTTTCCCCCCTTTCTCTGGTGACCCAGCAGAGTCCACTGCTGTCAGTTCTGTCATTATCTCTCACAGAGCTGTAAGCCTTTTCACCCTTTCCTCTGGTGTCAGGTAAAAATTCCGTATAGGAGGTAAGCTTTAAGGTGGGTGTTCTCATTTCAGATTTACTGAACACTCTGGGCAGGTTTTCCTTATTTTTAAAATCCCCATTCTCTGGTTCAGGTACCTGGGGAAGGTGTTTTGATGTGAACAAGGCTTTCCAACACAACTGTAAATGCTGCTAAGTTTTCCCACCATCTCTTTTGCTGTCAGTGTTTCCCCATACATTGACCAAGGGAGCTCTTTGGTCAGAGGGAAAATTCCCACTGTGGGAGCTGACTTAGAGCAATGTCACTGTTCCATCCCCAAAGTCTGCATGTAGCATTGTGTTGGGGTTAATTAAGTTCCTAGAAGTTTCTAAGTTGGTGTACAACTTGAATATTCACTTACCTTTGTGGTTTGGATCCTCCTGCTGCAGTGTCACCCCACCCACCCTGGGACCAGGAACTCCAAATGGGGATTTTGTCCACATTTCAGTCTGTGCTGGCATTCTCTCATTCTTGATCACAGAATTCCAGAAGTGTTTAGGTTAGAAGGGACCTTAAAGATCACCTTGTTCCACCTCCTGCCACTTGCAGGAACACCTTCCACTAGCTGTCCAACCTGGCCTTGGACGCTTCCAGGGATGGGGCAGCCACAGCTGCTCTGAACACCCTGTGCCGGGGTCTCAGCACCAAACACAGCCAAGAATTTCTTCCCAATATCCCATCTAAACCTGCCCTTCTTCTGGTGTCAGTTTTAGGTGAAGTGCAGGATATCTTACCTTAGTCACTTCTAACAGGACAGCCGTCATTCACTTGTCTCGACTGAGAATCAGTGAAACCTTTCATGTGTCAGAGCCATCTGTAGCCAGGAACAAGACCAAGTTCTTCCTCTTCCTGGTGTGAAACAGCAGATACCTGCTCTTGTGTCTGAGTTCCCACTGCTCCCTTCCCACAGCAGGAGCCTGTGCCCAGCAGGTGCTTCTTCAGGAGTCTTCTGGAAGCACCACACCCCAGGCACTGCTGCATTTGCCTGAAACTGGATGAAGAACTTAAAGAAAAAAAGAGAGTAAGAGAACAGGAGTGGTTATGAGTTTTTTTTTCCTGATATCTTTCACAGGTACTTTTTACAGATTTCTTTTTAAGCTGAGCGTAATTCATGAATTCTGATCTTTAGGAAAAAAAACACACGTAAACAGCAGTAGTAGCAGTAAACATAAAAACAAATGTCAGTCATACTGTTCCTTGTGGTCCCCTGTGCTGCCTTGTCCAAAGGCAGTGGTTCCCAGAATGTCCTGGCAGCCTCAGGAGTGGTGAACACCACGATGACACCCCAGAAGGAGCAGCTGAGTGCTACTGATTGCTGGAGGTCAGCAGGAAAACACTGGACTCCCACCTGAAAACACAAACCCAACAGATCATGGACTGAGCAACAGCATGGAAGAGGAGTGAGAGGCAGATTGCAGCCCTTTGGGACTGGGAAAACAGGAGATTTGTGAGAAAGCTTTTCTCCCTCTGTCAAATTTCTGTAATTTGTTACCTGCCTCAGAGGGCTCATGGCTGAAAAATACCATTGCTTTCCTTCATGGAATCTAAATGTTCATATGATACAGACATAAACCTGAATTTCTTTTCAGCCCTCACCAAAGGTTTTCAGTCACGGAAGGAGAGTCATTTTGAGAAATTGATTTTTGTTGAATACCTACACTTCTGTGCTTTCAGAAACGAAGGACACTTCTGATAACAACTTCTGATAGCCTGAACATCTTTCTTGACCAATTCCCCACTTTTATCAATATAAGTTTGTTCCAAGCATCTGAATTCTCTCCAGCTTTTGGAAGTGATGCTTTTTAGCTGAATTCCTCTGGGAATGTGAAGGCATCTTTTCTTGTGCACAAAATGTCCATTGCCTGTATAGCATAAAAGCATTTTCCTCCCAGATTCCCCTGCCAGCATGTGCCTTCCTCTGTGGGAGGAGGAAATGCATTTCAATTTTTGGTCCTTCTAAGAGCAACCCTTAAAAATGTGCATTAGTGCAGAGGAAAGCAGGTGGAGCAACAGCCTTGGCAACATTTACACTGTGGTGGTTTCTGGTCACAAGGAACCTGGATCAGCACCTTCACCTCTTCTTGTGGCAGTGGTGTTCAAACCCCACTGATCCCTGTTGGTCAACTCCCCACCTTTCATTTCCTGCTGCTCCCTCTGCCTCATTCAGCGCCTCTGCAGACCTTAGTGTCTCACTTGGACACAGAGGCACATTCTGACCTCTCTGAGACACATTTCATATTTCCCAGAATCAATAACTTCCGAAGCAGTTACAGGAATAGCGAGCAGTCAATAAGTCCCGTCAGGTTCCGTTAGGAGGAACAGCAGAGCAGTGGAAGGATGACATTTCTTAGGGAACTGCTATCCAGGCATATTTGTTGTTTCAAGTTGTCTGACTTCAGGGCTCAGCCAGGGCCTGCAGCCTGTAGCATTCATATAATTTTATTTTAAACCTGCCACTCAGATGCTGAGGGAGTAACACCAGTGGTAGAACCCCTGTGTGACAGCAGACCCAGCAATCCTGATGTGCCAAGTACCTGTCAGGGAGATCCTATGGGCTCACGGCTCCATCACCCATGTTCCACATCCCATCAGAGCTCCTGGTTTCCTTTCCTGGCTTTGATCACTGGTCCCCTGGGACAAGCATGGAAAGGTTGGAGAAAGGTGGTGTTTTTGCAGAAGTGTTGCCCTGAAGGGTTGTTTAAGCAACAACAAAAAAAGTGAAATTAATGTCTGTGAGAAGTGTCAGATTGGAGCTTGAGGAGTCAGACTCTTCACCCGTCTGAAGGCTGCCCACATTCTCCCTGCCCGAGCTCTCAGTACAGCACCATCCCTTGGCACAAAGTGGGTTCTTTGCTTTTTGAACTCTCCTCATGTCCCCACAGTGCTCAGTCCTACAGCTGAGAAAGAGTCAGACTGTGCTGATGGGGTAAGAGCTTGCACTGGAAACAGTAGGAAGGAATGTCGGCTAATTCACTTTGGTTTTAGAGATGCTTAAGAATTACAAGAGGTTAGAATGATTTAAAAATAAAATGCATGCAGAATGAGTCAATAACTCTGCTTTTAAACCAGGAACTGCTGGGAACAGAAGCTTGTTTCTCTTCTTAGCAAATCAGGGCTGCATCACTGCCATTGCTCTCTGGGAGGAGATCTCTGACAGCTACATCACCAATGTCTTGTCCAGAATTTTGCAGTGTTCCCAGGTGCTGCAGCACAACATTTCCTGGCAGGAAGGTGATTTGGGAAGCACCATGATGACAGTGTACAGATCCTGTGGCAAAAGAATCCAGCAGTGCTCCAGGCACCCTTCTGTGGCATGCTATAAACTTGGGGGATGGAAGCCCTTTGTAAACCAGGTCTTGTTCTGAAAAGTTTAATTTTGCAACTGTTCAAGTTTGTTCCTTTGTCAGATAACATGGTAAAAATGAAGAAGTCCAATATTTCCTCCATGAAAAATCCATTATATTTATAGGAAATTCTTTCATAGCATTTGAAAGGGTGATGAGGTTTGTCTGAGCATGCCAGTTGGAGGAAGCAAAGCCAAAACTATGACTTTAAAGGGCTGAGAGTGCATGAACAAGATTATTACAGCAAACAGGACTCTCTGTCCCAGCCTATTGTCCAAATTCTTTATTCCTTCCTGTTTCTGTGGTTCATTGTCCCTGTCTTCACTACATCATAGCAATGACTGGTTTTGAATTGTTGAATTAGCAGACTGAGGTAATTTTGCTTATATTTACTCTTCCATCACAAGGTTCTAATAGCATGCTGTGCCTCCAGTTCCTGCCATTTAAAGGAGAGGGACAACTTCAACTATGTCCAAGCAAATTACTCCTGGTATCATTGTTTCTGTATATTCAGTTTTAAACACCTAAAATCAGAGTCTGAGATACAGACCAAGAGGAAGGACACTTGTGGGAGTTGTAGGTGTTGACACAACAGTCAAGTCTATTTGGTCTCAAGTTTTAGGTGTGGACTTGCTCATCTAACTCTGGCTGATGTGTTTGTATCTCTCACAGATAATGTGGCCTTTTCTTTCCATTTCCAGGAATCCCCCAACACATCTGATTCCAGCCATAGGACCCAACACCTCAGCTAACCCTTTCAGGTAACACACAGAAAGGGCCAGGCTGTGCTGCTGTTGGTTCCTGCCATGGGCAAAGGTGAGGTTTGTGAGGTGTGCTGGGATCCCCAGGAGCGATGGGCTGTGTTTTTCAAGCATCCTCAGCTGTTGGTCTAAGGTTATTTCTTTGATTTCCCAAGCCCAGAGGCAAATGACTGTTTCTGTGTACTAAGCATCAATTCTTTTCCTTTTGTTCTTATCCTTTCTCCTCTCCACAGTTTTCCTCTTGCTTTGAATTCTCTCAGACCGCTGCCATCTCACTTCCCCTGGCACAGGAGAAAATGTGGTGGTGTTTACAGAGCAGAAGCACTGGGACTCAGGAGATGTGAAAGGTGGCTCTGCTGGCTCTACCTTCAACACCTCTCCATGGTTCTGACTTCCTGTCAGGATAACCTGGACTAAAATCCCTCTGTGCTTCTCCTGTGCAATCCTATGGTATCTAACACAACCCACAACCTCAGGTAAGACCTGTAGGCACTCCTGTTATATGAATGAGAACAAGATTGTTGGTGTCAGTAATTAACATTCTTGTGGGATTGCTGGAAAAGCTTCGGGATAAACACCACCTGGAATCCTTGCCTGGCTTATGTGGTTTTTAAGATGCAGAGGAGACTGATCCTGTTTGCACAAGAGGGCATGGATCATCTGTCTCCTCTCTTACTGGATGTGCAAAGTCTTTCAGTCCCAAGATGAGTTATTGTAGCTCAGGGAGAAGTGGGACACTGGAAAAGTGAGGGCATGGACAGTGGGGAAGCAGAATGGAGTGGTCAGTGTGTCACCAGTGTCTCATCTGAGAACAAGGACTAATGACAACCACCAAAACAGGAAAATACAGTCACTACGAGCACCTGTGGCACGGTGTTATCCCATGACAGGCTCCCCGAGATGCGATCTCATGCTCCTGACATGGATGACAAAAATCCCATTGACTGCAGTAATATCAGCCTTTCCCCTTAGGTGTTACTTGCATTTCTCTCCTTCTGGATGATCAGAGACCCATATCCCACATCATTGTGCACTTCCTGATAACAAATCCCTTTTCTTTTAAACTGGAGATTGGATTCCAGTAAACCCTGCATTTTGGATTTTAGGTTCCCTCCATATACCTCTGAAAACCCTAAATAAACAAACATTGGATTAGACATCAGCAGCTCCCTTGCTCGGCAAGGGAAGCCTTTAAAAGCATTTTACACCAACTACCCTGTTTGTGTTTCAGACTCTGTCAACCTGGCACTCCAGGAGCTCCACCTTCCTCTCAGCCATCTCAGGGAACTCAGCTCAGTGTTTGGAAGCTCTGCCTCCATTTATGACCTTCCCTGATTCCAGTGAGGAGCTGGAACTGCTGTTGACCTCAGGAATGACAGAAGTATATGCTGGGGTTGGAGGGTTTCTGGCATATGACCTGCTAACCTAGAATTTGCTTGGCAAAGTCCAGAGGATGACTTTTAACCTCAGAGCAGTTTGCAAAACCACATCTGTGACCAATAAATGTGAAAAATAAATGGAAAGATAAATCTAGCCCCTGTTGAAGGATGAAAGACAGCACATCTTGCTGGGCACTGGTGCTGGAATCAGGATGGAGATTGGGAATAATCGGACAGGCCATGTGCCAGATGTTGTCCATGAATGGAGCCAATGCCTCACACAAGGGAGGCAGCACAGCAGGTTAAAGTGAAGGTATCTCATAGCTCTAAGTCTTAAACTTAACGAGCCACATCTTTATTTGTGCTGCAGCCCCTTCTTATCCAAAATTGCCTTTACCAGCTGCCAGAGGATGCCTGGTAACGGAAAATTCTCTGGATAACAATAAATTGGTGTAACGATTGAGTGTCACCTCACATCCCGCTAAGCAATAGAGAAATCACGATGAGAAAAATAGGCACGACCAGAGTGGCACTGAACAGTGCAATCCTAATTCCATCACCCTTCTTGTGGGCGACAGATAACCCAGTGCAATTTACAGTCGCTCTGAAGCGGCTCCAAGTCTCAGCAGGAGTCGGGAAAGCTCAGTGTAGCCTCGGGACTGAGGAGTCGCAAAGATCAGGCGAGTTGTTGTTCCATAACCTTGCCTCTGCACCAAAACTAGGGGACTGGTTTGGAATGGGAAGCACTCCAAGCAAAACACAAAATTTTAATCACCAAAATAAGGTCCTCTTCTGGCTCCCTCTCTGGAGAATAGTCTGTCTCTGATCATTGTGCACAGACTCCCAAAGAAGGTAAATTTTGGATTTAAATCTCTATGTCAGCATGTGAATGACAGCGTTAAATCTTGGCTGTAAGGCTGAGATATCTCCAAGAGGAGAAAAACACTTTTTCCACTTAAGTGGCTGAGGTAGAGGAGGTAAATATATTGTCTCCCACTATTAAAGGGCGAGGAAATCATTTATACATGTGCATTACACCTTTGCACCTAACAGTGGAGTTATTTTTTATATTCAAGAGTCTAAAAGTTTAGAAATACCAACATTAAGGCGGCCTATGCAACTGTAATTTGTCCCTTCCATGCATTTGCATTATGATACAGTATTTAATTCTAATTAGATCACACGCTGTTCTTTCAACAGGTTCCTGGCCTCACTCATTGTACAGAATAGACCGTGCTCACTAAGTAATAATTTTATTTTCTCCTCGCTGTTCACTATGTGGCCTGTGCTTTATTTACAGCAGACTATTCAAATATTGTTCTGAAGACAGATTTATTCATTTCCTCCTGAGCTTTTCCATGGGACTCATCACTATGGTATCCAAGTGCTTCAGAAACTCTAATTCATTTTCTCAACACTGTAGTGAGAACTGGTGTTGCCCTTATTTTACAGACGAGGAACTTGGGTGTACAGGCAAAATAGTAAAAAATATCTTTTCATTTCAGAGATCCAATTAGAAATACTCAATGGCCTGATTTTGTCAGAAAGTAGAACATGGCCAGGCATCTAATTGAGTCAGTAGTTGTATAAATTCTCAGTTATTGCAGATATATCCGCAAGAGTTCTTCATTTCTGCAAGTCAGGCTTCAAAATGTCAGCCCAGGCACCTGGGCAGTGCTGACTGCAAAATTAGTGGAGCACTGGGCAGGCTCTGTTTATAGACTGTGCTTTGCATCCCACAGATTCCAGAGGCTAAAAATCCTTTCTGAAAGCAGCAGTCACCTGCCCCAGCCACAGCGCTGTGCTTGCTTGCCCAGCCGTTCCTCACAAGGTGCACAAAACAGTTTGAGTTTTGCAGTAAATGAGGTGGAAGTTGTTCAGGCACTTGCCTGGGTTCCCTGACCTTAGTTCAGTGTCTGAGCCTGGCATATCCTTCTGCACTGGTTGCCTTTATCCTGGTGTTTGATAACTGGGGAGTGTGTTACTGTGCAGCCTGAGTACTGTTGCTTTATGGAATATGTACTTCCTTCCCAAGTAGAGATAACGCCAGTAATGTAATCCTGGGTTGACATCGATGCAGGCCATCAGCAATGTGGAAATTTCCCTCTGTGAGGGATGTCATGGCTGGCACAAGCTCCAGCACTCCAAGGGGGTGAGGTATATTCTTAGAGTATTTCAGGTACCTGCTGACTGTTTTCCAGGTGGTCTTCATTCCCATTCTTAAATCCTCACCTTTCTGCTCTGCCTCCTTCCTCCAGTTTCTGTCATTCCCATTACTACATCACTGTCTCTACTGAATTCCCTCTTCCCAAAGGCCATGTTGCATGCCGCACCCAGACTTGGGGTCCTTTTCCCTTGCCCCACGCCAGCTCTCCATCTGATCCCCTTTGCCCAGCAAGCTCTCCCTCAAACCTTGAGCAGAGCACAGGGACAGCTCCTAGTCTTCCCAGGTTGCACATCCTCCTCCCAGCAACTTCTCCCATTTCCACTCTGGTTTAAAGTCTTCTCCCAGCGGCCTGGCTTCCAGACTCTTTCTTATGAGCTTTGCTTTATCCCTCCCTCCAGGCAGACCTGTTTTTCCTTCTGGCTCATTCCCTTTCACCACCCTGGAGAACCTGTCTCTCTCCAGAGCCTCTGTGCCTGCCAACGTACCTGTCCCAGACCCAGTTCCTGTCCCCACTGTGTGTTTTTCAAGGAGCTTCCTGCTCTGTGTTTCCCAAGAAGACTGGAAGGACAGGTCCGCTCTTCCTACCTGCAGACATGGCATGGTCCAGAGCAGCCAGGAACTGGAGCTGCAGGTCCAGCTCTGATCCCACAGCCCTGGGCTGTGGAGAGGATGGAGCTGCTGGGGAGTGGAAGCGCCAGGAAGCCCCTGCCAAAAACCAGCAGGACTTTCAGGAGGGTTTTCATAGCAGGGTTTGAGGGAACACCTCTGACAAAGTGGCCACTCTCATTTTCAGACTAGAAAATCCCTGACAGAAGGAACAGAAGGAGAAATATTTATAATTTAACCCAAGGTATGAACTTCAGATGCCTAAATTTCAGCACAGTGGTTAGGCTGGCCCTATTAAACTGCGACTGAGGGCAGGATTTTACAACGGGAATTGCTAACCAGCTTTAATAGGAGTTACACTACAGTCCTGCCTTTTAATCACCACTTCCATTTTCAGGATAAATTGCAGCTGGTTGCTGGTAATCCTTGTGGCATATCAGATAGCAGCGTAGCTCGGCAAGGGTAAGCTGGAGAAACCCAAACATCCTTCTGAGGAGGTAATTATTCCATTGTGAAAATGCCCCGGGATATTTTTAGTGGCCAAACCCCCTGTTTCCTGACAGAAACATAAAATAATGAAGCAAGCTTCACAAGGAGAGATGCCTCAGACACCTGTATTAGCTGGTGCTTTGCAGTCACGTCAGCGTTTAATTTGCTGTGTGCATCCCCACATCCCTGTACAGCAAAATCCACACCTGCGTTTGGGGCACTGTGCACTCTGCCAGCCTCTGCCTCGCAGAAAACCTTCTCCATAAACAAATCTGCAAATCCCGCTGGATCAAGAAGAATTTCACGGGAATATAGAGCTGCCTGCAACAAGAGGGACACCCTTGCCACACACACCGAGGTTATCAAGGGAAACTTTCCTTGACAGGAGTCTCACAACCAGCGTTAAAGCCTGTTTTTTGGGGAACAGATTATTTAAGTTTCATTTAAAAATGTTTTGCAGGGGATGTACCCATATTTCACATGCTGCAGTGCCCCAGGGGTCAGGCTCTCTCCTGGTTACCTCCAGCCCTGATCCCATGTAATTTATGTCCTGAAAGACAATTCAATTAGTCAATAGTAAAATGAACCAGGACACCGTGTGTATTGTAAAAATATAATTTAGTGGGAAACAAGCTGAGATGGAAAAAATATCAGAGTACACTCCATATGATTAATGAAGGAGGAATGTATATTTACAGCTTTTATTGTGTCCTTTCTAAGGAGACTGGATCTGGCAGTAGGGCTGGAACGGGCTGGTAACGATGCGGCATTCTAGTGATTTGGATTTGAATGGAAAATGCTGTATAAAACTAATTACCCCCAGGAGGATGAAAATACATTGCATTTGCCTTTTAGGAGCACGTCTGGCCTTTTCTTCACGTTATTTATCTTTGAGAAGCATGTTTACTGGAGAGGCGGCATCCCGAACAGAGCAGCAGAGTCGCTCCCCAGGAAAACAAGTTTCCGCAAGTTATTTTTCTACATTTAGCTGGATTTCGGGTTCCTTAGCGGCTCTGGATTGCTGATAACCAGCACCATGGCAGAGCAGGGCTCCCTCTTCCCACACCCTCCGGCTCGCCACATAGCGGGGATACCCGGATTGGTGCCGAACCGTCAGGTTTTCCATATTTTTACGTGCGGAAAACGCGCAGGTCCCGCACCCGTGATGGGCCGATTCAGGAGAGGGAAAAGCACGGATTTATTGCGTTAAAAGCACAGACTTTACACACCGGACGCCTGAGGGGAGGAGGGGGCACCGCGTCGCCCCTCAGGAGAGGGCGGCGGCCCCGCCCCCCCACGCGCGCACGCGCAGGCGCGGTGGCGCGCGCGGGGGGGGGGGGAGACGGGCGCGCGCACACCTGGCGCGGGGGACGGGGGCGGGAGAGGAGGAGCGCGCGCATGCGCGAGGCGGGGGCGGGCGGGAGGCGGCGCGCGCCCCGCGGGGTCCGTGTGAGGGAGGGACGGACGGAGCGAGCGAGCGGCGGAGCCCGGCCCGCGATGGAGTGAGGGAGGGAGCGCGGCCGCTCCGCCCGCCCGCCGCTCTCCCTCCGCCGCCTTCGCGCAGCCCGCCCGGTAGGGAAGGAAGGCAGGAGGAGCCCCCCCGGGGGAGGGGCTGGCGCTGGGTGCAGCCCGGCTGCCGGGCGCGGGGAGTGGAGCGATGGCGGCGCGGAGAGCCCGGCGGCTCCTCGGCTCCTTGTGCATCGCCCTTCTCTTCGCGCAGCCCGCACCGACCGGCGCCGCGGCGCGGAGCGGCTCCCGGAGCCTCCTGACGGGTAAGAGCGCGGCGAGACCCCGGGGGCGGCGGGCGCGGAGCTGTGCGGGGGTGCGGAGGGGTCCCGGGGGCGGCGGGGCCCGGAGCGGCCCTGGCAGGGCGAGCGGTGCCGAGGGGCTGAGCCCGCTGCGCCCCCCGTGCGGGCACCAGCAGGGGCCACTGCGAGCCTCGGGGAGCGGCGGCGGTGCCTCCCCGCCAACAAGGGACACCTGGAGCCCCCTCTGCGGGGGATGGAACGCTTCACCCACCTGTGCTCCCGGCTCGCTGGTACCGGGGAGGGAGCCAGGCACACCTGAGGGGAATCAGGCTTGCAGCTCATCAATGAGAGGAGCAGGGCACACCTGAGGGGAATCAGGCTTGCGGCTCATCAATGAGGGGAACAGGGCACACCTGAGGGGAATCAGGCTTGCGGCTCATCAATGAGGGGAACAGGGCACACCTGAGGGGAATCAGGCTTGCGGCTCATCAATGAGGGGAACAGGGCACACCTGAGGGGAATCAGGCTTGCAGCTCATCAATGAGGGGAACAGGGCACACCTGAGGGGAATCAGGCTTGCAGCTCATCAATGAGGGGAACAGGGCACACCTGAGGGGAATCAGGCTTGCAGGGCACACCTGAGTGCGATCGGGCTTGCGGCTTACCCCTGAGGGGAGCCGGGCACGGGCGGGCTCTGCCCCAGTTCGGGAGGGCTGCTGGAAGCGGCACGGGCTCGGTACCGGCAACCTGTGGAGAGAGAGGAACTTGCCTGGGAACTGCCGCAGTAGCCCAGAAATAAGCGGTCTGGCAGCTTTTCAGCCGCGGTAGTTCTCACACCTTTTACTATTGTTGTCTTTAATGGTCCATGATTGAATCCTGGTTCTTTACGGGCTACGGAAAACGTAATCTCACCCAGGTGAGGCAGGAGAAGGCTCTCTCAAAAGCCCTTACGTGAGACCATTAATACCACAGAAGCCTCCTTAGCTTTGCAGCGATGTTATCTGCTCGTTATGCCAAATACCGGCTTTAAAAAGTAACTTCTTTATTTCCTTCTTGCCAGCAATAAGCTGGTAGGATGCTTGAAAGAAAATCTGGTCTCGAATGCTGAGTGCTGGGATTAAAAAAAAAAATACCCCCTGTAGGTTGATTGAATCCTGATATTTTAAGAGAGAACTCTGTGCAAGTGGAATATGGAAAAAACTGCTGGTCAAATGAGAGTTTTTTAGCAACCTGTTAGCAATTTGGGAAAGTAAGAATGGTTAAATTCTGATGTTAAATGGTATAATTGTTCTGTTTCAAACTACATTAGGCAGGATCTTCTACGGTGGTTCTCATCTTGGACACCACTGTTGGAGCCATGTGAGCTGACTCCTGTTGACAGGGAATATTTTTATTTTTCTTCTTACACTGTACAAGCTTTGTAGATGCCAGGTTTGAAGCAGATTTTTTTTTTTCTTTTGAAAAATATTGCAGTTTGACTCAAAAATCTGCAGAACATGTGTAACAGATAAGTTACTTTGTGATGTGTAAAATCTTGCCACGTGGTGATTCTTTTCTGATATTCCTGCTCTCCTGACAGCTTAGTAGTCTTATGGTTATTTTAGTAGCTCTTTGCTAGTTCAAAATAATGCTTTATGGTTGGAGGAAATCAAATTAGTAGGTGAAGTTCTGTCTGTTGGAGCCAAATATGTGAATTAAGTCTGCAGAGCAGGGGTGATGTGCTGAAATGATATGGAATAAAACCTTCATTGGAGCTGTTTATCAGAGCAGGAATGTAGGAGTATCATTGTGGAAATCTTGGAAGTTCTGGTGTACTCCTCCTCTTCTCCTCTCTTTCTATCGTGGAAGGTGCCTTTATGCTGTGTCCATAGATGTGTCCTGTGGGATCCCTGGGGAGGACCAGGAGCTGGGCTTTTCCTGTCTGAGGGTGTTTGTACCAGTTACTTACAGAGGAAAGAGAGAAAGGCTCTCTTAGTTCTTTGTCTCAATAAAGAGCATGTGTAGTGAATGAAGTTCATTTTAATTCACACTATTTCCCATCTAATTGCTAGTAGTTTTTCTTAAATACAGGATGTTCCACATGCTTTTACATGGGCAGGTGCTCATAGGAGAGGGAGTTGGGTGCAGATGTTCCATGGCATGAAAGTTCTGTTGGAGTTTAGATGTGAAGGGGGGTAGTGTTGTCTTCTGTTCCATGCTCTGGGTGAAGCTTGATCTCTTCAGGATGCTGGCAAGAGAGAGGCAGAGGAACACTGGGTTTGTAGGTCCAGGTGGAGCTGTAGCTTCTTGTCAAGGCTGAAGTGCTACTTGCTATGTCCAGAACAAGGGGTTTGGCATTTTAGTGTGGGTAAAAGTGCCATAAATGAGCAGAAGTTGCAGATTTGAAAGCCCATATTCTTTGTATGGGGTCATGTGTGTTGGAGGGACATTTGATCCTATTTATAAATAGCTCTTCGTGGCTCTCTGAAGAAGAAAAGCGTGCAGCTGAATTATTTTAGGAGAAAACTGTATTAACTTCATTTATTTGTATATCTGCAAACATTAGTGTGTTTTTCCAGTGTAGCTGGTTGCTCTGCAGATAAGGTGAAATGAGCTGCTGATTTTAGAATTGGGACAACATTTCACTTAGCTTAGGGAATAAAACAAACCAAGAAGAAGCATCAAATTAAGCTAAATCCTGCCTCCTATAACTCTTTGTAACTGAGTTGAGATAAGCATAAATACTTGGATCTATACAGATTGCATTATTAGAAATAAAAATGAAACTGGTGTCACTTAATTTTTAATAGGAAAGCTGTGATACCCTGTATACACCATTAAGATTGCAAATGAGATTATTCAGAAGCAGGAAATTTGTTCTGTCTCTCCCTTGTATTCTTGAAGTCCTTGGAATTGATATGTATTTTGTTTTTAGAGGACAAACTGCCAGTTTGGGAAGTCCCAATGGAGCAGGATTAGCAGTTGGTGGGCCTGGAGCTGCAGGAGGAGCCCAGAACTGAAGGGGTCTGTGAGCAGCAAGCTGGGAAGTGCATCCAGGTGCTGCTGCCAGAGATGCTCTTCCTGGGGAGTAATGTCGGGGGGAGGAGGTATGGAAGGCTAAGGATGGCAGCACACATCAGCTGGGGACCCTAGAAACAGCAGGTTGTCATTTGTTTCTGTTTTGTGTGTGCTGCTTGATTATTTCTAATTATATCCTAAGTTAAAAATAGAGCAGAAATATTCAGGTCTCGGTTACGTCCCAAGTCAGTTAAGCACCGGTCTCCCTGCTTGATATTCCTGTTCCATATGGACAGGTTGCATATGGCTTTTGCACTGCATGTTTATTAGTCATCTAAGAAAATTACTTGACTGGCTTATGAAGCTTTCCTAATAAACTAACACTTCAGTTTCAAAGTTGTCAGGTGTGTACACACCTGTGCCTAATGTTCATCACAGTGAAAAGCAGCAAACAAAAAGTGTCATAAAAACTTGGCTTGGTTACCCTGTGCTAACTTATCAATGTAAGTAAGGAAGTTACATATGGTAGATATTTCCTTATACAAATAAGAGTATTTGGTTGCTCCTGATGATAAAATGCCCTTGTGATTTACACGAGGTTAACCTTCAGCCAGAGATTGTCAGAAGTCTGAAGACTCTGTAGGCACCTAACTGGAGTTTGTTGCATGGCCAAGAGAAGGAGAGTGATAATGAATGAGTGAGGAAATGATGTGGGAGTTTAGGCAAATGACACAAGGAGCAATATTCTGCTTAATGTTTTTATAGCTTGAAAGCAGAACTTTAACTTAGGTAACATTAGCCTGAGTGTCACAGGGGGTTTGAAAGTGAATTTTATTGTCATCACCAGTTTCATGGAGATAATTTGTGTGTAAAATGTGTGCCAGTGTTTGTAGCCAACTTTTCTAAACATGCAATGGTTTCATAGATGCAGGATGTTTAAAGTCTCACTTTGCATTGCCTATGAGGAGGTATAACTGGAGTTGTTGCTAGTAATTAATTAGTGCTGGTTTCCCATGAGGAATCGGTGCTGATGTTGGGATGTCACTTGATAGAAGGGGAACTCCACTTCTGTTTAGCCAGTTTGTAGGAGTCTCAGTGGCTGCAGGGCC